TGCACGTATATATATATACACGTATATATACTTCTAAAAGTCGTGTATCATGCATAGGAACGTTGACGCCTGCAAGGCTCTGGTCTATATTTTCTTTTTTCCGACCGCCTTAAATCACCCTCCCAAAATCCACCCCTGATATTTAAATGAAAAGTTGGGTAAAACAAGTACATGACTTGATACACAACGCTGTACATCCATTCAAAAATATTTCTTTTAAGATTTTAAAACTGTACTTACTGATAAAAAATACTTGTGTTGATGTACATTAATGTTCAATGAACTTTGTGTGGAATTTGAATATTTGGGTTAACAAGCTATGGACTTGAAGTGAGACTACCAAGAAATGGTTTATTAAGAATCAGTAGCAGCAGAGTAATCCAAAAACACTGCGAAAACATTCAAACATAAAGAATACAATAAAACTATTTAGTGATTTTAATGCTGTTTAAAGAAGTATTTTAGCATAGTGAGATACATACTGTATAGACCTCTTTGTTGCGTGCCCTTAATCTTCGCAATTTTCGCGATGAATCAACGATCGCGAAAAAAAATCACGAAATTCTGAATGATACGTGTCTTCAAAGGCCATGCTAGGCCATACCCATAGCTAATATAAAACTGATATTCCCTCGTTAAAGATTTTATGGAAACATCTTGCTTCTTTGTGCAGTATTTTTCAATCATTCAGTCACATTTTAAAAGTTAAAATGCAGTATTATATAAATGACTAATGGCATATTCCGAAAATAAGCTGTCTTGGCTAGGCCAGTAGATCACACTTCATATCACGCTTCACAGAGCACAAGTTCTTTGCATTGTTTAACTATCCGTGTATTCGTATAAAAATAATGTCGAATGGTTCAGGTAGGCAAAGTAATTGTAGATCTACTAGATGAAGAAGACATTGCATGTCAGAGAATGATAAAAAAAACTAATCATTAATGGCTGCAGTTTAGCCAGCAGTACTAATAGATTGAACGATTAGGCTTAGGCCTCTTAATAGCAGCCTACTCAAAGTTTTTTAACTGATAAGCTTTTGAACCTGGAGTGTTTGGCCTTTTGTTTCAGTGAAAAATGTGCATTTTGTTTAATGTTAGAATCATTACAAAGAAAGAAACTGAATTGATTGCAAACACAAATTTAATTTAGATTGTCTGTGTTTAATGATCATGCACAAGATTTTTAGTTTCAAAAATGGGATATCATGTAACTGAGTATGCTAAATCAGTTCTCAAATTGTATGAAGTCGGTAAACTTATCCTTGAAACAATGCGGTATTGAATAGACTGTAATTAGAAGAATTGCTAAAAGCTGGCTAAACAGTATAAGATAGAACTGATAAAACAAGTAGAAACTTAAATAGTTAAAGATCTTCCCTGATTTGCAGAGTGGGGATGGATTAAAAACAACGATATTATTTTGACCTGTCAATGTCAAGGCGAATGTCATACAGCTGGAACATGTAAGCCTGTTGGTAAATCACAAATTATTATTATTCCCTAATGCTGTTTATATTATTAAACCATCAATTTTAGATTACAGTACAAAAAAATGCCTACAGTACATTTGATGTATAGTATTCTTTTGTCTATTTAGCCTCATACTCGACTTGTTAAGGATGAAGTGGATGGAGCTGGACCTTCAAAGAAAAGCGCTAAATCAGGTACCACTACCTTTTTTGTTTAAACTGTCTATATTATCTTAAACTCTGTTTATATTTCTAATACTACTAGGACACAGGTGGTCTAAGTGCAGCCTGTGGGCCACATACGATCTGACACAACATCTGTAAAAGAAAATAACGTGGAGCCTAAAACAGTACAAAAGTAATGAATAAGGTTGTTTGCAAGCACATTGAAAGTTCCAAAATAAGTTTGCTTGCTGTCCTCAGTGTTAAATCAAAAGCTCAGTTTGGCCTTTCCGACCCATGCTTATGCCCACTCCTGTACTAGAAATGTTCATAAGTAATCTATTGTACATCAGAACCTGTTGCAATGAACCTGTTTGCAGGAATTGAACCAAAGCCTGGAAGCTAATGCTTATGTGTTTTAGAAAAATTAACTTTTGGTCCTAAAATAGCAGAAAACAACATTTATTTTGATGAGTGGTAAAAACTTGCAGGGCCATTGGAAGCGCACCTGCTCTGGCCAGACCACTTTTTCTCAATTCTTTTTTTATCCTAAATATATATATAGTGATGATACATACAAATTTTAGGAATTTATTATTTATGTTTGCATCACATTGTCTTTTTAATGTTATAATTTTTAACAAAAAAAAACCCACCATGTACTTGTTTTTGTTATTGGGTATGTAAATTTTGACAACTTATTTTGACAAGGGCCAAAACAGCTCTTCACCAACCAGGCTGGGGGTGGATATGCTTTTAGACCCCATTAACTTTAAAATCCTTTATTCATGGACTATGTGAGCTGTTGTGACAAAATGAGTTGTAGGAAAAATTAGTTATTGATAACTAGGTGATTATATAAGCTTTATTTTGGTCTTTGAATCAGTTTCCTAAGGTTGAGTACAATTGGAAAAAAGATTATCTTTGATTTTAGAAGTCTAAAACATATTGGAAATTGGCTTCTAAAGATAAACAACTGATAAATTTTGTTTTGGTTTTCCTATCAATTCTGAAAAATAACTTTACAAAATGTACCTCAAATACACCATAACCTTAAGTAACTCAACTTAGCACTTTTGCTAACGTGAATAAACATATTAAACTTATTAGAAACATTGAAATGAAATTCTTGTAAAAATATCACTTCAGGTATATTTTCTTGAACAAATTAACCTGGTGGACACTACACACATATTCTATATTACATGATAAATATTTTGTTTATTTTCAATAATGCACAGAAAGTAAAGGTATCAAATATATAGTACTTATCTTTGAATTTCTGCAAATAGGAGCTGCAGGAAAAAGTGGAACAAACATGGTAAAGATGACTGTAAAGGGAGCAGCCACTGTTGATCCAGATTCAAGTAAGTTTTTATGAAATGAAATTTTGTGTAAAACAGTAATTATTTATGTTATCTTCAATTTGATGAAATTGGCAGTGCCATGTATTCATGTTATAATGTGACTCTCATTTATCCTAATTAAGCCTTATAATGAAAATGTAATTTTAAGTTCTCTCCAGTCTTAAGGCAGTATTACATGTACATTTAGGCTTTCATGATATAATTAATATATTGCCACTTTATTATCTGATAGGTCAAAGATGATTGCAACACATAAAAGCTAAGGTAAATGCTAGGAGCTTTGTTTAAATTCTGTTTATAAAATCAAGTGTAACAAGGACATTTAGCCATATCATTGATGCACTTGTAAGACAGTATGCACCTATAGTAATAGTATGTTTATATGATGATAAGCAATGGAATGTAGTTAAGATATCATGGTAGAGTTGTATTCATAAAAGTGAACTATGCTAGCCATTCCTACAGTCATTTATTCAACCTTATAATCAACATACTATACAGAAACTTCATAAAAGAATATTTTTTTTTTTAAATATAGGGAGTAAAAGGCTTTTTATTATTTGGTCTGATATGTAGATTTTGAGATGTCTTGCTAAGGATTTAAATCTACTTTACTGTTGCTACCACTCTGTCCACAAGTACAGTGATCCATCCAATATGTATAAAACTTTAGCTAAGGCGCGATCGACAAATTACCCCAGACGGCAGAAACGCGTCTAGGTCAACATCCTATTACAAACGCGTCTGAGAAATCAACCATTCTAATTACCACGCTATATGAATATTCATTTGCTACACGCTTGAATTACGGCTCGCGTCTGGACGACGTTTGAATGATTTTCTATTGTTTTCTTATACGTACATGTGGCTATACTTTATGCTTATATAAAGATTTGTAAATTACATGATAACAACGTGCCTGGAGGTTCCAGGGCGCAGTATGCGCTAACCGAATTCGATTGGAATTCGCTTTGTACGCCGCTCTGTAAATAGAACTATGTCGCGACTCTAAAAATAGCGCTGACGTTTTCTTGTAAAAGTGAAAGAGGGTAGCCTACATTCGCATTACAAATCACAAACATTCTTCAAATATACTTTAAGTGCCATGGTAAGTCGGCGTTAAATTCTGGCCTAAATATAAAATCAAATCTAGACCTAGGTAGGTAGTCTGCCTATCTTTTTTTATCCTCGCGCACTGCTGGTTACTCACAATTTTCTGAGGCTACTTTCTACTACTATGTCCTGTACTGTGTATACTATGCAGCAGTGACATTTTCTTTACTGTAAGTTCTACTGTAGGGCCTCCGAATCGAGAGATGTATATTTGGTTGACTAGTAAAATTTAGATAAAGACAATAACATTGATTTATTGTGCTCTTTCAAATAAAACTGCAGCGATCTCGAGGTCGAGTCTTGGGTGCAGAGAGCAGGGCCCACAGAACCATGTGCGTAAACAAGTAGAGTACTGGGCAATTTAGAACTGTCCATTTTCAAACGGGGTATAACAGTTTATTTTTTAAGAATTACTTATTTTTAGTTGTTTTTCTTTCTCTCTTTTATACATTGAACGCACCACATTTATCTGTGCCGCTGAAACAGAAGTGTATGTTCAGTTGAATAAATAAATACATTACAGTAATATCGCGAGTTGTTAGTAAAACCTTTACTGGGTAGGCAATGGTTTAGCCTTTTTAGCATGTTTGTATGTCGAAATTCGCAGTGAAATTCAGCATAAAAAAACATGTTTCGCATAAAATTCACGTAAATTCAATTAATAAACATTGTTAGTTCCTATGCATGTAATGCAATAGGAACTATTGTAATCACTTTCACATTTCTTTTGTTTTTTATTGTTTGTAGTATGTGTGTGCGTATGTGTGTAGACATTTATGCAAATGCGCATGCGTCAAAGAAAAGTTTTCCGACATTTTGTTTTACATCGCGATGCGAAGTTCGATGTGGATTTTCTGCAGAGTTCAGTTAGGGCTCATGCTAACCGATCAGCAAGTCGACATGCATGAAACTATTTTGGTTTTACGGCAAAAAAAAATCAACTGCTGTGGCATAGGTATTTTGAAGAAGGCCTAAAATACAACAAAAAGGTTTTAATACTTGCTGAAATACATCGTTTTTTCATTTAGATCTCCATATTTCACTTACTCCATGCGACGTTTTTTTTCTGTTTTATGAGTAGTCCATAGAGCTATTAAACAACTAGAGTGTTGACAAGATGGCGCAGCAATGCAGAGTTATGTATGTGTACCATCCAAGATGGCCGTCGTAGTAAAGCGCCACCTTCAGGCTTAGTATACATATTATTACATATTAATAAGCCCTCTGACTGACTATTATTTCATTAATGATAATGAGTAATGATAATAACAAATTATTAAACTATTGTAGCCAAATCGAGGCCAAGTGGAGCATCTTATTCAAAAATAAAGTACCCAGGAATGAAAATTAAAATCGTGTACATTACACCCAAACACCGAAGCGCTCGAGTTTCAAACATACGGGTAGCTAGCGGTACTGAACCCGCTGAGTAAATTGAGGGCGCAATTGCAAACGATGGTGTTTAGCGAAATTTGATTGGCTAAATCTATGGCAGCCATCTTGGATGGTACCCACACAGTTCTGCGTATTTTGAACATCGTATACATTGCGGTTAGCGCTCTAGTATTCTTATTATTATCTCTATGGAGTCATATGAAGGTACCATATCCCCGATAGTTGGCTATGCAGCAATGTACCCTTTGAATACAAATTGAAGATAAGTGAAGATATAAAGGCAGCCGACTGTCGGGTACATAACGACTACCTAACTTTCCACAAAAACATTAGGCCTAAGTTAGGCTTAGTTCAGTACAGTAGTTACTGCGATGCGAGGGTGGTAGATCGTTCAGTCAGTGATATCGTGTTATCGTCTAATAATACATTTTAATAATGTGTGTACAAATTTAAGAATGCACCGCGTGGGTCGCTTTTTTTGTTATGCGGTAGTAGTATATGTAGCAGAGCAATCTAAGCCTAGCCTAGGGCCTAGATGGTATACGTTCTTGAT